ATGCAGAGTCAATTAGTGAATTATCGGCGGAGAATGAGATACTGCCGTGCTGTGATGCCGCTCCGCTCCGCTCCGGTTGTTTTCCCAGCTGCCTTCACCAGCTCATAATTCATATATCGAACGGGCAAATCTTGAACGAACGCCGGAAATCACGTACTAACGGAAAAGTTGCCACGTTGCGTGTTGGATTTTAGCATTATTGTCCTTTAAGCTAAGACAGCATGAGTATCAGCAGCAGCAGCAGCAGCAGTGGCAGCAGCGGCATCCCCTTCCCCGCTCCCCCTTTCGTCGACCACAACAGCTAATTAACGTTAATTTATTAAATCAGTGTGTAAGTAAAGGCATGCAGCAGGGGGGAGCTCTGCTGCCAGCCAGGCAGCCGGTTGGGTTAGCGGYGGCTGCTGCTGCTGGCAGAGATAAAAGTTTCACACGACTTACTCAGACTGCGGCCGGGGCTCAGGCTTATGGGGTACGCTTTTCTTAGCTGGAAAAGCATGAAAACCACACGCAGCAATTATTAATTCAATTATTTTAGCGCAAACAGCACCTAAGACGCTGCGCCCAAGACCAGACCAAACCAGACCAGACCAGGCCGGGCTGGGCTGGGCCAGAGCGAAACTCGGGCAAAGACATAAATGCTTTGGTCTCTTGGTGGGCGTGGCAGTGGAGCAAAACAGAGAAAACAAAAAATGGGAAGCTGTCTTTGAGTGCGCTTTGCTGAAATAGAGCAGCACAAACACAATTAAGACAGCGAGGACGTCAAGAAAGAGCATAGCAGAGTAGCTGCTCCGGCAAGGGCATGCGAAATTTAATTAGCTACATTCCACACACAGAAAGGAAGAGAAAGATAGAGAGAGAGAGAGAGAGAGAGAGAGAGAGCCGCGTGTGCCGCTTTGCCAAAGGGAAAGGGAATGTGAGCAACCACCTGCTTAGGTGGAACTGCCCAATGGTCGCCCTAGTGGCCGGCGCTGTCGCCGCCGGACATGCAAATTAATAACAGGCTTCCGTTTCCGGTCAAAAATGAGCGACGAAACGAGCGCAACTACAGCTAAAATAATAATAATTAAATACGAGCGCAAGTCGAACATGGAATACTCTATCAAAGGAGTGTGAATATGATGTAGAAAATATATAATATATNAGTATGCATGCCAAATTTCAGCTCTCTAGCTCTTATATCTTCTGAGATCCTTTTGCTCATACGGACGGACGGACGGACGGACGGACGGACGGACGGACGGACGGACGGACGGACAGACGGACAGGGCTATATCGACTCAGCTCGTCGTCCTGATCAAGAATATATATACTTTATGGGGTCTGCGATGATTCCTTCTGCCTGTTACATACTTTTCACAAAACCATTATACCCTGATTTCCCATTTTCAATGGGTTCAGGGTATAAAAAAGAGGAGAAAAATGTAGAGGGAACATATCCGCAGCGACAAAACGTGTTCGTAACAACTTCCGTGGCGGAATGTGACGCCGTGTGTCCAGGCTGGGCTGGGCGCACCATGTAAATGTGTGGAAAGTAGGTAAAATGCAAAAGTTTGCAGCTTAAAGTCACCTGCGCTGGTTCCCAAAGCCCCGCACAGCCGCAGTTGAAACAAAAGTTCATGGGCAGCGCGAGGGGTGGACGGTGGGTGGCGGGACGGGTGGGTGATGTCCCTTTTGTTTCAATTCACGGCAATTGCAAGTCAGCTCATCAGGCATCAGGTATAATTTGGCCAGGGACTATTTCATTTTACGGCCAAAGTGGCGCATTTGCATAAAGTTTTATTTTCTTTGACCCGCACTTGGGGATTTCCATTTGTCGCAGTCGCCAATTTCCATTTCATGTTTCCTTTTGCTACTTTTGCTACTTTGTCTACGACGTCTATGAAGTGATTTCCGTTTGCTTTGTTTTTGCTCTTGTTCTTGTTCTTGTTCTGCTCTTGTTCTTTCTCTTTCTCTTTCTCCGTCTCCGTCTTTTTTTGCAGCTATTGAATTTCAATATCCTCTGGCTGGCTCAGCGGGGTCAGTGCTTTGTTTAAAGCTGCGGCCATATCCATATCCCGTCTTGAATAATATGCTGTGCACGCTAATACCGTTAGAGCTGTTTACACACCGTCACAGCGGCACACGTCATACGTTACGCCCCCCTCGCAAGCATATACGCCCCTTTCACACACATGCACGCAATACCAATAAAAGGTAATTTGAAAATCAAACACTTGCGGAGCTCTGCCCCCCTCAAAAAAAGTATGCTGAAGTGCAAACGGGAGATTTGGCCGTGGCAGCTATCGACGTCGTCGATTCGCCGTCTCACAGCAAATCCTTTCAATTGCTGCAATTTACAGGATAAATAGGATCAAAATCGAATTTAAATGGCAAACAAATTTTTCGTGATTTTGATTTTGTTGACAGAACTTTTCACTTATGTTGCAAAATAAGCAAATTATGTGATGACGGCAACGGCAACGGCGACGGCGACGGCGACGGCGACGGCGACGGCGCTGCCTCTGCTGCTCAGCAGGATAAGCCAACAAGGGTTGCGCCTTGTCTATTGAACACCTACAGCACACACACACACGCACACACAGAGAGATACTTTCACACACACACATACACTCTCGCTGTCTGTACATTTGCATGCAAAGCAGTTTCTCGCGTTCTTTTTTATTGAAATGCCTGAAAATATTTCAATTAAATGTTCACATGCACAGCTCAAGGCACACGCATTAAATTATCAAAACTAACTGTATATCCACACACAAATATACATCTATATATGTATCTGTTTATGTAGTTTGTATACCTAGCTATATCAATACCCATGCCCAATGTGAACTCATTCGATTTTATTTATTTTTACTCAAATAACTTTGTCGAGCGAAACTTTCGCAGCAGGCGCTGGGTTGGGCGCCAAGTTTCGACACGAGTCCTTGGAGCCATCTCCTGGCAGCATAAACAAGATTAATTTCACATGTGCCCGGCTCGGGTTCGGGTTCGGGGTCGGTGGGGCTGTTGGAATGCTCAGTTATTACTTTGATTATGTTTATTTTAGTCATGAAATCCTAATGCCAGTTACTTGTGCACTTCTCGTTCATTTAATAAACTCGCAGACGAAGCGCGAAATTATTTTCACTGAATTTTCGCCTCACAATTATTGCTCTTTTGCTCTTCCGAACTTTTCTGTGATTAGCCAAGTGAAAAAACACGAGATTAGGCAAAACTATTTGGAACTTCATTAGTTTGTGCATAGAAATTTTTTGACTGAGGTGAGGCGTTAGTCGAAATTACATTATGAGTACTTCCATGCGAATAGAAGCGATAACATTTGTTCAATGTTATCTCAATTTTAGCGCCTAAATAGTCTTACACTAGTGTAATAAATATTTCAATAGTTTTAAATAGTTTTGAATGGCATTTTTTTAGACTCAATTTTCAACTCAATTTCATGAAAATATTTTCCATAAATAAAATATATATGTTTATCAATTTCTTATTATTTAATCACCTACAGAGCAAGAATTTAAGCTGGAATTTTAGGCGCCTGCTATTGCCATTGAGGGGTCAGTGACCTTGATTGGTCAGTAACTTTGAGGGGTCGGTGATCTTGAGCGGTCAGTGACCTTTAGAGTCTTGAGGGGTCAGTGACCTTGTTAATACTATTTAACATTTTTCTAAATTGATTTTCATTTGGTTTCATTATAGCACACTAAATAATTTTTAGCACTGTTTATTAGCATTAACCAGACAACGCACGCCCAATTCTTCAACCATTTTCCATTTTCTTCAAAGTTTCCTTTCTCTTCTTTAACAATTACTGCCTCTTCAAACTGTTTTAAAGCTTTTCCAACACTTTTCTCTAATTTGTTGTATAGAAATGTCATTGAAGACGATTGACTGCCTTTAAAATGGCCTTGTAGACTTTATACAATCAAATCAAACTATTTAATATATATTATTAAATCTCTTACTAAATACAATTCAATTGTCTTTAAGACATTATAAATCCATTTATTGGTTCCATAGTATATGATATACATATGTATATGAGGATCTCCTACTAAATAAAAGATAATCGCCTTTACGATTATCTTTTATCTACAATCAAGTAACGGATTAGATTAATGACTCCCAGGCATATGCAAACCACTTCTATTGCCACGCTCATTGCCCTGTTGATTTAAGCATTTTGAGTATTTCAAGCGTTTCATACTCTGCACTCCAATTGGCTCGATCTCGATCAGACCGCACGCAACTTTCAGGCAGTCAAATGGCCGAGGCAATCGTCAGTGCATCTGCCAAATTGGCGGTGCTCCAATAGAGCCACCAGCCCAGCACCACTAGCACCACCAGCATCAAGAAGTGAAAGCGAAAGCCAACTTAAGTGCTTTTAATTATGTCCACGTTCACTTTAAACCAAATATTGCAAGTTTCCGAAATACGCAAATCACGCTACGGCTGCGTCTACGGCGATGCACTGCATCCGTCAGTTGAGCGGGGCGGGCAATTAAGAGTGTGAGAGAGACAGAGAGAGAGAGAGAGTGAGACTGGAGCTCTAAATAAAGCGTAACAATTTATGAAATTTTAATTTCTTACACTTAATAACACGCCGAGTTATGGGCGAGCAAGTGCTCCCATGGCCGGTGCCGCGGCGTATAGAGACATCAACGTGAGTTGCCAACGCAGGTGAAGCAGGCGGGCAAGTGAAGGCAGCTCCGTCCTCTGCGTGCTGGCGACTTGTGTGGCATGCCGGCAGACGTCAGACGCCGAGCATAATTAGAGACGGTGCGCCAAGGCGGTGATGCTGCCCCTACTCCCGCCCCTACTCCGATTCCTGCTGCTGCTGTTGGTGGCTAAATTTGGCATTCGTTGCCGGCAGCATTTGCGATTAATCGCATTTATGATGTGTGAATTAGCGGCTACGTTGCCCAAGCGAATGTGGATTTTTATTATTTATTAATGGATTTGATACAAAAGTGGTGCTGGTGGTGCGAGCGGTGCTGGTGGTGCTAGACGTCGGCCGAGTCTGCTTCGTCTAGCTCGAGATCGAGGCGACTCTGCGGCAGGGAGCTGATCGAACTGGACTCCGAGTTGGCCTGGTCGGACTGCCCGTCCTTGTCGTAGGTGAGCGTGCTCATGTCACAGATCATCTGGTCCATCAGCTGCTGCTGCTGCACCTGGAACTCRGCCTGCAGACGCTGCTGCTCCTCGGCCTGCTGCGAGACCAACTGTTGGAAGCGCTGCCGCTGCTGCTGCTCCATCTCGTCCAGCAGCCTGCGCCTGATCAGCTCCGATGTGCTGCACTCGGCACTGGGCRCTGCCCGCGCCTGACTGACGCTGCTGCTGCTCGACGGCGACGTCTTGGACGTGGGCAGCGTGCCGCAGCTGCTGCTCGACTCGACCTTCCGCGGGGCGGCTCGCTTGAGCGTGGCACGCGGATCGTAGCTGAGCCGACGTTGCGTGCTGCTGATCCGCGTGCTGCTGTCGCTGCCGCCCCGCTGCACGGCATTGGCGTGCGAGGAGGCGTGCGCCGCGTAGCTCACAGTGCTGCGGCCGCGCGGCGTCCGCTTGCTGCTGTTCGTCCGCTTGGGCAGCGCGGACTTGCTGGCCTTGCTGTTCCGCTGCTCCGGTGTCGAGTGCTGCTGCTTCACCTGTATCTTTCTGGGCGATAGGGCAACACTCGACACGCTCACATTCGGCGATGCTGTCGCACAATCGGTCGCTGAACTGGTCAGCTCCACCGCTGACGCCTCCTCCGACGCCACTGCAGTCGCAGTCGCCGTCGCCGTCGCCGTCGCCGTCGCCGTCGCCGCCGCCGCCGCCGACGCAGCCTTCCTCTGCTGCGCTTCGTATTCCTGGCCAAGCGCAGAGGAGTGACATCGTTTCCACAGCTGCGGATGCAGTCGCTCACCTCGAGCCGTGCTGCTGCCGCGACCGGACGTCGCAGTCTCAGCTCGCGAGCGCAGCGCAGGACTCGTGATGGCGCGCTGCAGCAAGTCCCGTTCCCGCTTGTTAATCGACAAGTTCAGCCTCTGCGCGATGCCCAGCAGCTGCCGCATGGTCTGAATTTTATGTGGCGGGCTGCCTTTGGGACTCATCTGCACTGGGCTGGGACTCGAGCCGCTCGCTGCCAGCTCCTGCTGTTGCGGAGGGCTGCCTGTAAGGCTTGGCACTGGCTGGCTGGGCATGGGCTCAGCCGCTTCCAGTGTGGAGCTCAACACGACGCCGCAGACTAAGTCCGGCTCTCTGAGCACTGCCTGCTGTGCCCGGATCTCCAAGTACTCCTCGCGCACAATATGCTGCCTGGCCGGCATTTTGCTGGACTTGACGAACTTGATGATGGCATTGCATTTGTTGTCGTAGATCAGCGTCTCCGACTGCTGCAGCTGCTGCTTGATGCGGCCGACGACAGTCAGCGGCTGCGGCACCAGCTCCGATTCCGACTCGGTGTTGGTGCCGGCATCCGCGACTGCTGCGCGCCTGGGCTGCTGCACCTGCCCCGTGGCTCCACTGGGCGACATTGCCGTCTGGCGTCCGGCTCTTCCGCGCTCCTCTATGGCCATGGCAGCCCGACGCAGCTGCTGCATCTCCAGGCGACGCTCAGGCGTCATCTGCGAGTGGAAAGTAGAGAATCGTCTACAGGGCTGCACAGCTGTCTTCAGCACTTACCAGGGGCGGCAGAATGGACTTGCCGTTGATGGTGAAGACGGACTTGAAGCGACTGCCTTCTTCCTCCTCCTGCTTCGATTGCTGAGCAACCGCCTCGGCCATTTCCATGATGTAATCCATTGCAGGTCAGTTCGATTGCCAATTACCTAGCCAGAATATGTTTGCTTGACTTTTGTGAATTTGCCCAACGAATAACTGAACGTAAGCTGAAAACAAAATTTGACAACTGAAAAAGTGACTTTGATTACAGAAAAAATTAAATGAATATGAGTAGGCCTCTTCTCTAGATACCCCTTAATTTGCGGTTCTTGGAAAACTATCTTAATTAATTATTGAATATTATTATTAACTAGGGCTAATATGAGAATTCAGCTCTGTGAACTGGTCTCTTCAGCTGGCTAGCTATCTCTTATATAATGAATACAGATATCGCATATAAAAATTTGATTATACTTATAACGGTTTCTAAATATGCAAGAGGGTAGTTTCAAGCATTGCTGACTAAATAATTCCATTAATTTATTATTAATTTATTATTATTTATTTCCATTAATTTACTGCTCAGACTACCTCAATGCATATTCGTCCATCCCATCAGCTATTCGCCTTTAATATACTCCTTGATCGCATTTGACATGCTTACAGGGTATGCGAACATTCCATTGTTAGCGCATTGGTATGCACTGCACATGGCAGGACGCACTGTACAGGCTGACAAATGTGACGGTCGTCGGCGCTGCTGGAGCGTGCCAGCACAAGGTGCCAGCCGGCAGCAGCGGTCCACTGATGCGTTGCAGCAGCAGCAGCAGCAACAACACACAAATAAAGTCCACTCCATTACCGGCGGGCATTCACCCACACACACACACACTCATACTCGCCCTCTCTCTCTCGTTATATATATATATATATTTCTGTGTGTTGTCCTTTGAGACGCCGTCAACGTTTTGTGCACTTCCGACCCAAAACGTAGTATATGTCGGAAATTTGTCTTGCGGGCTGGAGTGCTTGCTTGTAGGTGTGTGATTTGTTTTTTAAATTTCTGCAGCCTTGAAAGAAAAATGAAAAACGCAACGGTGTCTGCAGCAGGGGTCAGATGGGGAATGGGGAATGGCGAATGGCGAATGGCGGAAGGGCAGATCGAGTGATGGGGGCACTGCTGCTGGCCAATTTGTCGCATTGTCCACCCTCTCCTGGCATCTGGCATCTGGCAACTGGCAACTGGCAGGACCTGCCGAATTTTCTATTTGTATTTTGGCAATGGAGTCACGTACAATTTCACTTGCATATTTGCCCAATGACATGCGACAATTTTCCACTAAATTTGGCATGTCAAACATATTTGCAGCCAGCAGGCAGGCGGAATGAAAAATAATTCAAATTAATACATTAACTGCGAGGGGCCAACTGTGAGAGAGAGAGGGGGAGTGTGGGTGGGCGCCTGTCAGGTAATAAAGCTCATTGTCGTTAACTCACTTTGACATTGCGTGCCAAAGTTGCCAAGGCTTGCGCCTCGTCTGGGCAATTTGCTTGAAGTGGCAATTCGGGAGCGTGCCAAGTGCCTCGATAACAGTTAACAGCTATCCGCCGTGCGGGAGGGCGGCAGGTGGGGCGGCCACAAAAGGTATTTATCTCATTGAGCAGATTAACTTGTTCTCGTCCTCAAATTAGGCATGCGCCGACTGAGCGACGTGAACTCAAACAAGGTACGTGCCCAGCCGCATTGAGGTGTATTTAAAGGGCGCTTTGTTACTTTCCAAGTGAAAGAAATTAACATAACAATCGAGTCAGCAAATCTGGGAGATGAGAGAGCTCTGCTTACCTGGATTCGAATTGAGTCGTCTGGTGTCTGGCTTTGCTTGACAGATGAAACTTCGTTTATATGAAATCTAATTATCTAGGCTCTCACGTGCGTGTGATATATATCGGCAAATAACTGACAGCGGCCACTAGCCAGCTCTATCGATAAGTTTCATACGTCTGCTCAATCTGTAATCGCATCAATGTATTCAGTTGCATTTGATAACCACACTTAACCTCTCACTCTCTCTCTGTCTCTCTGGTATGGTAATACCCATTCGCTGTCTGCTCGCTGCTCTTTGTCAGGACTAGACGCTCGGTTACAGTTCATAAATTCAGCGAATTATGAGCCGTAACGTTTCCACTCCTGGGCGGAAGCGCGACCATTGCAGTGGTCGTGGCCAGAAGGCGCAGCCAACAGGTAATAACGGTTGCACGATTGGTTAGCCTGACAGTTATTTTTTGCTTCTTTTTTTTTTTACAATTTATAACAGCAAAGCTGAAGAATGGAAGCTGGCAGCTATAAGTCTTGCAGAGCACTCTCATGTTGCCCAGCTTATACAGCATTATAAAATTATGCAATATGTATCGCCCAGTTGTGGTGGCGCGCGGTGGTGCGGCTAGCCACAACAAGTTGCCGTCATAAATTTGGGTTTTGTGTTTACTCAAAGGTCGCCGCATTTCTTTTGTCTACCGCACGGCATTTTATGGCAATTCAAAGTGCCTCTGCCCTGTAAGAGGTCGAAAAGCGGGTATACTGGATGAAGTACTTAAATCCTCAACTTATTTTGAAGATTGACTCTTTAAAGATATTCTATCTATGTATATATATTCCATTTAATACTTTACAGACTTCCCATTTACAGGAATTATATCTATAGAGATATCTTCCATCTAACCTATACAATCTAAGGACTTCCCACGTACAGACTTCCCATCTATATGCTTTCTATCTACAGAGTTTTCATTTATAGAGTATATGTATAGACTTTGCATCTATAGAACAACTTATAGAATAGATGGAACTATTGATTTATCATTTGCGCACTTTTCTTCCGTTAAGATGTCTTCTTGTTCTTTCTTTAGATTTCCATCTAGATTTCCAAAATTCTTATCTAAAAACATATTGATTTTCAATATATTGACTGCCCATTTATAGATTTTCCATCTATAGATTTCTGATATCTATTGACGTTTCATCTATAGATTCAGACATCTGTAGACTTTCCATATATGGATTTTAGATCTATAGCCTTGCAGTCCATAGACTTTCCTCTTAATGCACACTTGTTTTCTCTCACGAATTGTTCACAAAAAATATCATCTTATGTGTTATCCTCTCGATTTCTTCATCCATATAGGATTGTTATATTTCAAAAGTACTTTTTAGGCTTTCACAGCTATTTACAGAGGATTCGCTAGTCGCGTGTGCCACTTTTAGCTGCGGCTGGCTGTCATAATTTTATGCTGCAGACAATATCGTCGTTTTATATCCGAGCAATCGATGAAAGTTTTACGATTCGGGCATTCAGCTCAATGTCGCGTTCGCATTGATTTTGTCAGCAGCTCAAGGCTCAGGCCGTCAAAGACGAATGTCGAGGTTAAGGTGGAAGTTGAAGTTGATGTTCAGGCGCGGCAATCGCTTTAATTGAGTTGTTGCTGCTGCTGCTGCTGCTCATGCATATGCAAGACTCAATTAAAAGTGCGCTCAGAAAAGCTGTAGACAAACAAACAGAAGACCTAGCCTCAGCAGCCCCACTTTTTTTTGGAGGGGGACCTGGCTGCAAGAAGTTGGCAACGTCTGCAACTGACTCGGCGAGCGTCTGCGGTGTTTTGTTGACATTTTGCGGTATGGAAAAAATTAAATTAAAATGCAAATTAGACAGCGGTGAGGGACAGACAGCCAAGACGCCGATGCAGAGGCGCAGTGACAAATTGTGGCAAGCAAAAATGTTGCGCATTCGCCCGGTGGGACGACCCCGCGACTCTATCGGTGTCACCTACGTCGCCTTACCTATCGCCTGTGTGTTTTGGCTGGCGACTTTTGCACGCTCCCAGTGCTGTTTAAGCTCAAGATGAATGTTGTTTTTCTTTTCTCTCATTCGGAGTAGAGCTGTGGCCTTTCGTGGCGGTAAATTATGCAAAGCAGTTACGTAATGCGCTTGTTACAATAATTTAATCTTGTAATCTGTTGCCGCCGTTGCCGTTGCTGTTGCTGTTGCTGTTGCCGTTGCCGTTGCGCTGCGGTAAGTGCCATAAATAATTCAGCTGCCTGACAGACACTTAACGTTGCATCTTCGAGAGCTGCCCCCAAATAGTAGCAGCAGTGGCAGGAGTAGCATCTGTAGTACGTCCTCTTCCAGCTGCTGGGTTTATTTTTTGCATTCGTAATTTCAAGGTAAACAAACGACAAACAACTTGCAAGTCAAAACGGAATTCTAATGAGCTGTCTCAAGGTGAATGCCAGATTCCGTTACCTATCAGCCACTGTCAGCCAAATTGACATCTCAGCAGGACGCGCCCGTTAATTCAATTTCTGAGCTCAAAGAAAAATAAAACCAGCGAAAAGTTTTTAATGCCAGACCAAAGATAAACCAACCCTTTGACGGCGCCCCAGTGCTCAGCCACCGAGGGGTTGGCAGAATAACGAAAATATTATTTGTGGTGCGTAATTAGCTGCGAATGCTTTAAAGCGCTGCTTAAAGTGAGCTCTCGCTACAAACGACAGGCCATAAATCAGCAGCAAATACGCAAATCCACTTCACGCAAATCGCAGACAACATAAAATTTCAATAACGCCCTTAACCCAAATGCTTGTCACCAATCTCTATACGTGTGCGCGTGTGTGTGAGTGTGAGTGTTTGTCTGGCATCCTTGGCAAGGTGCACCGGCTGCTGCTGCTGCTGCACAGGCGAAACCAATAACAAACAACAAACGGAAGCAATACACGTTGACACGTCGAACGGATACAAATATGGCGCTGTTAGTTCCGCACCAAGACAAAGCCCGTGGCCTAATGTTACGGAAACTCTATTGAATTGCGATAAAAATCGCGTTTGCCTTGCCTTGCCTTGCTCTGTCCTCGTCTGCCACACACACACACACACACCAGTCGGTAGCTAAGCCATTTTTAAAGCATACTTTGCGGCTTGTCAACAGGCAGCACAATTTATTGAAATTGCGCGGCAAAGAGTTGCAACATTTTGTCGCACACTTTCTCATTGGGTGCTGCAGCTTTGTGGTTCTTTCTATATGCATGAATGAATAAGATATTACGAATTATCTTTTTAGAGATGATATGTGGGATAATAGTCAAGTTGTTCTCTTTTGATTTATAATGCTCTCAATTATTCATAGTCAAAGATACTGGAAAATATTTCATTTAATAAATACCAGATTCATATATTACAAATTTATTTATAGTATA